AAGGGATGAAAGCAAGCTGGGCTTCCTGACTCCAGACCTGGCCGTTTCTTCACCCTCAAGCTGAGCACAAAACAGCAAGCAGTACAGGTTTGCTGAGTAACAATAGGCACAATAATAGTAGGCACCAGACCCTGTGCTGCTAATGGGACTGTTGTTCCATAGGACTATTGTTCCATGCCCCTGTGCCCCTGCTTCTGCAGAGCTCACCCTGTGCTGCTTGAGTTTCTCTGCATACCTGCAAAAGAGATAGGAGAGGAAATCCACTGAATCTCCTGGCTTTTAGACAATTCCAGAAGCTGGACTGGATGGAGGAGATGGGGCACCCTGTCTGTAGCTGCCCTGACTTACGGAGGCCAGCTACACCTACCCCAGAAGACTCCTGCTGTCCCAGGCTGTAGACCTCCAGTCTCCAATGGACATCGAAACTCAGACACCAGTGAAGCACCCCACATAGGGGGAGAGTCTTTCTCCAGCGGATCTTTGAACAATTCAGGTGGAGAGAAAGCTGTCTCTGTCTCCCCTTTGATGTGGGTTTCAGCCAAGTGTCTAATTAGGAACAGCGCCCGCCATTCCTGGGGCAGTCATCAGTTGGTCTGAGGTATTGGGTGTGCCTTTTAAGACCTCAGCAGCCTGCCCAAAATAGAGTCCCCTGCCTCCTGAAGATTAAAACAAGACATGTAGATGAAAGAAATGTCAGAATATGTCGAGAAAGGCAAGAAGAGCCCTAGTCCAGGAGTTAAAGATCTTTAGGTCTTTTCCCTACTATGTACCTTTTTCCCTTCCCCACTCCTCAGTTTCCACATTTATGAAATGTGATTAGCTGTACCTGAGACCTTCCCTGTATGTTTCATGATATTCACAAGTGCTGATCCAGAGCTCAGCTCCTATGTGGGAGTGGTGTCAGATTGCCAGTGCAGCAACTGAAATCCAAAGTTGTGGACCCAGAAACAGAAATAGCTCCAGAGGTTGGTGATGAAACCGTTCCATTTCCAACACAGGGTTGTCTGTCCAGTTTGAGTAAGCAGACCTCTGAGTCTCTGGAGCAAATGGCAGTCTCAGAGGAGGAGAGGTCTTGGAGATGGAATTCCAAAGAAACCCTTGGTGGTGATACTTAAAATAATAGTGACATTTACAGAGTGCTTTCTTTGCACCAGGCACCCTTCCAAACACTTGATATATATGGATTCATTTAATCCTGATTAACATCTTTCTATAGAGGGTACAGTTGTCTCCCCTCCAGAGATGAAGAAACTGAGGCAGCTTGCCCCAAGTAAAGCAGGTACTAGAGCTAGCGTCAGATCAAGCAGTATTTTTAGCCCCCATCCTCTGCTACCTCCTGGACCTCCAGCTTTTGCTCCTCTAGGTGTCAGTGTAGGGCAGTGCCAGTCTATGGCGGGTGCATCATTCCAGTAATGCAGCCCTTTCTGACCAGAGGCTGGGATTCGTGAGTCTCATTGACCTACAACCCTGGCATCTTGGGCGTGGGTCCCTTGGGGGCTGTGCAGTCATGTAGGGGAGAGATCAGATGGTTGGGACACTGATGGCATAGCCAGGCATGCCCACCACTGGCAAAGTAGAGGTTTCTTAGGTTGTGTGTGATGGCAGCACCTGGGAACGGAGAGCTCCCTACTGAGCTCTGCCACCCTGTGATTTGGGAGCTCCCATGGGTTCCCAGATAAGCCTGGGTAGGAAAATTAAAGGTGAGGGGCCTGCAGGCATCGTCTTGTGGTTTCTAGTGAGGCTCCTGTGTGCCTGTTCTACCCTCTCCTCACCCAGCTCCACACTGCCTGAGGCTCTGGGCAGCCCTGTCTATTCTCTGAGGGTGCTGCCTGTCAGCATTCAAAGTCACCCAGAAACCCATTTCCCCTGCCTCCAGCTTCAGCTCACACTGGCCACCTATAAGACCTCTAGCCCCCTGAGCAGCCTGTGCATACCTCATGCTTCTAGTCCCTCGGGCCTTGACCTTGTCTTTCACTATCCTCTGCCTATTTCCTCTGTCATGCCACTGTGCCATGACCTTGTATCTAAATTCTTAAAGCCTTCCCAGGTTCCCATTCCTGTGAGCTGTGTCTTTATTCTTGGTTGTATATGAAGTCTGCTCCCATTAAAGAGCCTGGGTCAGGGCTTCTAGCCATCTCTCCCTGAGGGTCTCACATCCCCCAACCCTGCCACCAGCCTCCTCTCATACTAAGCATTCAGTAGACACTTGGTTGAGTATGAGAACAGGTGGATGCCAGCATTGCCAGAGATTGAAGCCGAGCCTCTTTTTTCTGTTCCTGAAGGGTAAGTTAAAAGATAAAGACAAGATTTATTTTCTTCTGGTCTTCTTGCTGATAAAAGATAATTTACCACAAAGGGTGTTGTGTATTTTTTCACTTATGTGTGTGTCCATCTACTTTCAAAATATAGAAGCTGTCCATAATAAAAAGAAAGACAGTTATAATAGAAATCAAAATCTATATAGAAGAAAAGGTGAGTGAATTTACCAATTAGCCAAGTTAACCTAACTACTGAGGTTAAACATCAAAATTAAATCTGAGCTTCCTAGCAGCCAAAGCCAAAAACAAAAGCTAAAATAAAATAAGGAAGCAAGCATAAAACAGAAACTCATTCATGTGGAAGCACAAAATGGTATAGCTATGTTGGAAGACAGCTTGACAGTTTTTTACAAAACCAACCAGACTATTTCCCAGTGCTATGGATTGAATCCAGGACTTTATATATAAACATACTCTTACATGATCTAACAGTCTTACTACCCAGTACTTACACAAAGAAGTTAAATGTATGTCCATACAAAAATGTACACATGAATATTTCCAACAACCTTATTTATGTTTGCCAAAACTTAGAAGCAGTAGAGATATCCTTGAGTAGGTGAGTGGATAAACTTTGGTATATCTAGACAATGGAATATTGCTGAAATATTAAAAATAAATGAGCTATTGAGAAAAGAGGAAACTAAAATATTACTCAAAGAAGCCAATCCAAAAAGGTTATATACGAAGGATTGTAATCTATATGACATCCTAGAAAAAGAAAAACTAGGGAGACAGGAAAGATCAGTGGTTGCCAGAGGTTTGGAGGAAAACAGTGATGAGGCAGAGCATATAGAGCATTTTGAGAACAGTGAAAATAGTTTGCGTGGCACTGTGATTGTGACACATGTCATTGTATGCTTGGTACATGATGTATAACACTAAGAGTGCTTCCTAATGTACAGTATGGGCTTGTCAGTGGAGGTTCATCAGTTGTAACAAACGTACCAGTCTGATGGGGGTATGGATATGTAATAGGAAAGGCTATGCATGTCTGTGGGCAGGAATGTGTGGGTTTTCTCTCTACCTTCTATTCAGTTTTGCTGCGAACCTAAAATTGCTTTAGAATATAAAGTCTTAAAAAATAAAGAAGGAGCAAAATGTAGCTTTTCTATAAACAGGGGTAGAAGGGGTGAGCAAGTGTCTCTAAGCCCTCTTCCTACTATCCACATCCCCATCTGCACAAGTCCATCCTGGGTCCTGAACTGAGTTATTCTCTCCTCTTTTCTCCAGCCCTTGACTCCTCCATATTCCCACCAGCAGGCCTCTCTCCACAGACTTGGTCTGTGAGCGGCACATCTGCCAGCCCTCCTAGCAGCTATGCCCAGGCAAATTCTTAGGATCCCTTCCAGTTCTAACATTCTTTCTATAAAGAAGGTACTTACTTTTCCTGTTCTTTCTCTATATTTCGTTCCACTTGAGAACCTTTCTCCCCTTGAGGTCAACAGAAATCCCCACCCTGTCAGTTTAATGTTTCTGCTCGCTGCCTAAGAGGCATGAAATCACAGCCTGCCACCCAATATTAAAGGTCATTTTCCATGAATGCGTAGATGGAGATGTCCAGATGACTTGTGACTTAAAACATATGGTCACCACCTCCCCTATTAGATCAGTCCCGGGACTGATAGGTCTGGCTAATAAGGAGGACGCGCCTGGACATTAGGCAGGAGACAGCACCACCTGGCACGCTGTCCTTGCACAGTGGCTCTTAACTCTGGGGCTCTTGGTGAGACTGTCCAGGAAAAGAGCCGCTGTCTAATGGGCCTTTCCCCAGAGACAGCCTGCTGCTTCCAACCCGTTCACAGACCCTGAAGACCCAGTCTCCTGAACATCTTATTTATTGTCACGTGTTCCTGTCTTAATTACATTTTTTCTTTACTAGCACCCTTATTCGTTATTTATAACAACTTTCAAAAATAATTATGCAGTAATCCCTTCCCCTCTACACAACAGCTTTTTACCTTCTGATATTGGCTTTTCAGCTTTTTATTTGTATGTAGCTGTACTTGGGGCATTGCTGTCACTGGCATTTAAATATTATGAACAAAATGTGTGAAGCAGTTCCCCAGCAAGGAGCAGGATTCCCTTTGGGGCAGTGTTCACATTGCCCAGAACTTGTTTAGATTATGACCTCTACACATAAACAATTTTGTATTTATTTTACTTTTTACTTTAGCATAATTTCATGCATGCTTTCCTGTGTAGCTATATTATCTTCCAATTTATCATTTTAACGACTGCTTAATATTCCATCCAGTTAATGTGCCATAATTTACTTAACTGCTCTCTATTGTTGGGCCTTAATGAAAATTTGAATCCACCATGTAATACAGGAGGAGGCTTGTTTTAATGATTACTGTTATGACATCCCTGCTTCAACTGCATGCCATTACAAAGCCAGCTTTGGTAAGGCATAGATGCTTCTGGAAAAGTAAATCATACGTGAGAGGTATAGCACAAGTCCCTCTGATTTAATAGCTAATCTGCTCACGACACATGTTTTCCTTTTAGCCTGGTATTTGTGCGGAATACCTGTCACTGGTGAATACTATGAAATACTCAACTGTGCATTTGGCACTTTCCTCCCAGTACTTTATCACCGGCCTCAGAAACTTTGGTAAATTAACTGGAATTTGGGCATAAAGAGTGGTATCTGGCTGTCTCATTCATTTGTCTACCTAGACTCACTGAGTATCTGGAGCCGGCTCTGCGGGATGGAACCAGGCACTGCTCATGGAGGTGCGTCTGTGAATTGCTTTATGGTGCCCTTAAGGTTAAGTGGTGATTTACACGAGAAGCGCTTCATAAACTATAGGGTGAACTACAAAGTGGTTGCTGGTCCTCCTTGTGAAGGAGGTAAAGAGGAAGTTGGTGTTTCCAGGTCAAGTGCCTTCCTTATCAGCTGTACCTTCAATGTCCTCAGCCATTCTCAGAACCAGGGGAGAGTGCTACAGATGATGAGGACCCCTACAAAGCACTAAGTAGTAGGTCAGTTAGTTTAGTAGTTTGAGTGATTCACAAAATTGTCTACAGTACTTTGTGGTTGGTCCTCATTCTGTAAAGTGACAGAGTGCTACCATTTTATAGCTCTTCCTGTTTCCTCTTCTTCCCTCTGTAAAAAAAAAGGGGGGGGTATCATCCTGAAAAATAATAAATGATCCTAGTTTTTGTGTAGTCATGTTTTGACACTTTCTTATGGGTGTCATTTTAAGTGGCCTGAGAACCATATATTCACAAAGTCCTTCCCTGATCATTTGCTCCCTTTCTAAAGAAAGCACCAAAGAAAGTGCTGTTCAAATACCCCTACCTCCCACCAGCTCTCCAACACTTGCAAATCCCCCTTTTCAGTAGAGAGAAAGCAAGCCCCAGGCTCCCTCCTGGCAGACAGTAGTACCTACCTAGTTGGTTTTGTTCTCATTCACTCTGTATATTTAGCATTTATTTTTGGCAGAGGATAATGACTTACAGGGATGGCAATATAAAGTTTTCGTTTTTAATGAATTTATTTATTTAACAACATGAATAAAGTAAATAACCCAGGTGGTACTTGAAAACAGCAAAAGTGTGAAGTTGGTATGTAACTAAATGAAATTTGGGAAATATCAGCATAAAGTTAATTAATGCAGACACTAAATGACACTGCACAATGTCATTAGCTTCTGATTCATTGGGCATGTGGGGACTTTTTATCATCCCTATGAGGTGGCCTTGGATCATAAAGTCTAAGCCAAAAGAAGCCTCCTTTCTTGGAAGTGCCTGCATCATTCATATATGTTTTCTCAGCTGCTCTTTAAGGTTCAGAACCCCTGTGTGCTTTTGTCATATCTGTGTGCTGTAAGAACTCCAGTTTGGGGAGCACTTCCACTTTTATAAACAGCTTACTCTCCAAATCCTCACCAATCCTCACCCCTTTTGTATCTGGTCTCACTTCTGCTCCCTCACCTTGAACCTGCTGCTGCAGCATAAGTGGATGGAGCCTTAAGAAAAAATGGAATTCTGACACATGGAAGACCCTTGCAAACATGATACCAAGTGCAGAAAGCCTGTCACAGAAAGACAAATATGGAATGATTTTCACTTGTAAATTGTTAAGAGACAGTACAGTGGTGATTGCCAAGGGCTGGAGAGAAAAGGAAACAGGGAGCTAGTGTCTAATGGGCACAGTTTCAGTTTGGAAAGATGAGACAAAGTAGAGATGGAGGGGATGATGGTTGCACAACAGCATGAATGTACTTAATGTTACTGAACTGCGTGGTTGGTAGTGACTAAAATAGTGAATACTGTTACATATACAGTATTTTACCACAGTAAAACCTGAAGAGGCCAAGGAGCATGTTCTTTCCACCACATTCCTTTGGTTTGTCCTCATCCTACCACCCTGCGTGTTTTTCACTTGTCATAGCTGTCAATTCAAATGTCTACTGTCCTTGCTTCTGTCCTGCATCTCCCAGTCCCTACACCAAGTTCACTTTGCCCCCAAGTGTCAGGGTGATTCAGGCTTATCTTGTCTCTTGAAAATAGTGGGCTCCCCAGGAGCAGCCTGCGCAATGAACCCTCCATAGTCCTGATCCTTGGTGACCCCATGTCTCCTGGACATGCCTCGCCTCAGTGGGTCTTCATGATCAAAATGCAAGTCAGGTTTCCTGGTGTGGCCAAGAAGCACTTGATTTTAGTAGCCTGTCAGCCATCCTTCTAGCTACTACTGTTTTCTGAAATAAGCAGCAGCCAAAGTGCAAGTCCCCTATCCAGAACCTCAGCTAGACAGGTAGTCACCCCTCAGTTTACTCTGGTGCCAGCCTAGAGGTACTCTCCTGAAGATTATGAGCTCCCCTTCCTTACGCAGAAGTGAAACTAGACATCGTTGCTGAAATCCCCAGACATGTTCAATCTAGTTGGAAGATGAGTGGACTGGCCTGGGGGTGGGGGGATATGGAAGTGTCCCTCCGGCCTCATAGGGAGCAAATAGTGACCTTGGGCCCTATTTGCTTGTTTGTTCTTTTAAGTGAATCTGTGAGCTTGATTTGTGAACTTGAGGATCATCTGGGCCCATCTCGTCTTTGTACAAATGGGGACTGAAGTCCAGAGTGTGAGGAACTGCCCCAGTGGGGAAGACCCCTCAATTTGACAGTCAAGCAAAGGGGCTGGCCTCATCTGCTTGGCTGGCACCTCTGAGCTCAGATGGGTTCCCTGGCAGGGATCCCAGGTGAGGAAATATGTGCTGCACGTCCGTTACATCTCTGTTTCCTTCCTTTTTGCCTACAGAATTCCAGAGACAGGAAAGTGTCTGGTCCCAACACAAGGGCATCCAGTTATATGACACCCCTTACGAACCTGAAGGCCAAAGCGTCGACTCTGACTCGGAGAGCACGGTCAGCCCCCGACTGCGGGAAAGCAAGCTGCCCCAGGATGATGACAGGCCTGCTGATGAATATGACCAGCCGTGGGAATGGAATAGAGTCACCATCCCTGCCTTGGCAGGTAGGCAGCTCCTGGTCCTGCTCACAAGATAGCTGCTCCTCAGCCTGCTCAGCACTTGCTGCAGGGAACGGGAGTGTATATAGGGTCCCATCCTGACCTGGGACAAATGCTGGAGCTGTGTTTGACAATCCAGTTGGACTGTTCTCTAGACCTGAAGGCCCCCCTCAGATGATCTGAATCCTTAAGCCAAAGAAAAACTCAGGTCTGGGGTCCAGAGTCCTATTTCTGGACTCCTCATCTTTAGAGACAGCCCAGATGCTTAGAAATTAAGAGAGAACTTACCTGCAGAGCAGGTCCATTGGCCAGATATAGCCCCATGAACCCATCCAGTCCTGCATGGATGGATGACACATGGCTTAGAGGGCCACTGTTTTCTCATCCCACCTTCGGTGTGAGCCTGCTCTAAATATAGGCAAGAGTACATCCTGGCCTTAGTGTACAACCAGCCCCCTCCCTCCTGCCAAGAGCTCTTTGAGCAACTCATGTGGCTCCTTCCTCCTCCAGGACTGGCACCTCCTTTGCGGCCTAGTTCAAATGTCGCCATCTCTGTGAGCCCTCCCTGCTACATAGCTTTGTATCTCACAGAAGTCCTTGTCACCTCTGTGGAACCATCCACCATCCTGTGCACGTCACTGGTAAAACGTTTTTCACACTACAGCAGATCTTCCTCTGTAGGTGTTGGTCTTGCCTGCCAGGTTGTGTGCTCCACAAGGGCAACCTGTCTCATCTTTCTGTATCCCCACCTCCTTTCCTTATATCACTGTCTTTTTGTCCAAGAGCCAAATGCAAAGGTAGTCCTGTGACTGATGATCCTTGGTCACTCCATGTCTCCTGTACATTTTACAGCCTTCTCCCTCCTGTTGACCCAAGGGAATCTGTGGATTGCCCCTGGCATGCTTCTCCAGGTGTGGGAGAAGTCTATACCATCTATGAGCTTGTTTTTGCAGATACTAGGTTGACTAAAGGGCTGAAAAGGTTCAGGTAGTGACTCCTCCAGACACCTTGAGTGTCCCTGGAATACACAGCACCATGGGGAGGTATGGAGTGTCACCCTGTCCTCCTATTTTCTATCTCCAAGTGAAAGTGGGTTAGGAATGGATGGGCCACCTTGCAGGCAATGAGGATGTATCAAAGCAGCTCCATTAGATTGCTAAAGTGTGGCTCCGTTTGTCAGTCCTGGAGTGCAGCTGCTCAGGAATTGAAAGGCCGAGTTCCCACCTGAGCCTGTGTGGTTTGCTTATTGGGGAAAGAGATTGTGAGTATGCCTATGTATGTATGAATGTAGATATAGGCACATGAGTGTCTGCATTTATGATTCAGTGTGTCACTGATGTGGTCAGAGTGAGACATGGTGGGCTGGGCCCTGTCCTTATTGTAGTACCTGTTAGGAAGGCCTCCCAGCTTTTCTCAGTCTCAGGAGCTCTCTGTGATGGGTCCTGGCAGCCTAGGGTGCAGTATCCCCTGCTAGGGAGTAGCCTTGTGGCATGAAGTTGGCTGGGCAAAGTCATAACCTCTTTTTACTCCTTACATTGTCTGATTCTTCATGCTGAGCCTAGATGAAGAAACTTTGGCAGGAACCCTAGTCAGTGTTTTCAAAGTCCCAAAGGGCATTGAGTTTGGTGAGGGTGGGGACAGAAAAAAAGGACAGAACTAGGACCCCAGTTCTGTGAGCATTTCAGTGAGCAGCTCTGAGTTTGTATTGAGCTTCCTGTCACTGGAGGTTTGCAGCAGAGGCTGCAGCAAGGTAGAGCAGATGACAGGGGCTTACCCTGCAGCAGGAGGTTGCCCTGCAGGCAGCTCCAGGAAAATATGCATTCATTCCATGGGAATGCCAGCGTGCTGGTGGGTGGAGGACAGAGGCAGAATTATCTCAGTTCTGGCTGTGAAGCAGAGTGCTACCCTGCTTGGCATTCATGAAAAGAGGCCCTTCTTGAAGGGGTGTTCAGCATCCTCCCCAGAAGCAGCCCTTCTTGGCAGGCAGGAGTACAGCCGCCGAAAGAGCCCGTTACCATTCGCTAGCTGTTGTGACTGGAGCACAGTTCTGTAGAGTGTGAGGTTGTCCTAGCCTTCTGGGCATGAAAGTCTTCCCACTTCCTCGGCCTCCTTTCATTAAGGATTTGGGAACAGTTGGGTAAGAAATCCCCCAGGTTACCCCAAAGAACCCTGGGTACTCCCTGCCTTTTCCCCCTCAGGACACTGATGGTGATCTCCAGCCAAAGACCCTGCCTTGTGTGCTCTCAGCCCCCAGAACAGATGCTCAGTTAGGTGTCAGCACTGACTACAGGCATGGGCCATGCGTGGCTCCACCGCCCACAGAGAGGTGGTGTACCTTCCATTAAGCTGTCAGACCTCTGCCTTCCAGAGCTGCCTGCATTCCACTCTAGCCTACTTTGAATGCCCTTCTCCACAGCCCCTGAAGTCTCATGGCAGCAAACTGTGAGGCAGCCCAGTGGGTCTAGAAATGGCTTCCTGCCCTACCCACTCCTCCTCCCTCCACCAGATGCAGCTCTGAGCCCTCCTGAGGCCCATGTGACATTCCCTGCCCAGCATGAGAAAGGGAACGAGGAGCTTCTGGTGATGTCACCCTGTTTTGGGGTAGCACTAGTTGGTGTGGCAGGTCAGACTAGCCCTGTACTTTGTGGCACAGATTTTGACGTATCAGTAAGAGGCACTCAGATGCCTTTTATTTTTTTGGTACCAGGGATCAAACTCGGGTCCTTGTACTTTCGAGGCAGGCAGCAGAACCACTGAGCTAAATCCCCGCCCTGTGGCACAGATTTTGAGATAGACAAATGGAGCCTACACAGAAGGGAACCATACAGGAGAGACCAAGGATTAGGGGCAGAGAAGGAGAGCTGGATAGGAATGGGGCACAGATTTGGCATCTTCACATCTCTGAAGGCCCAGTGTGAGGATAGGGATTGGACCTGCCTTGGGAGCCTCAGCTCCTTCTGGGAAGTGAGACCAGTGATCCCTGCTATGGAGGGTCTTCCTGAGCTCAAAGGGCATCCCATCATCAGGTGCAGCATGGCTGCTGGCATTGACTGAACGCCTTCTGTGTGCATTGTCTCATTCTACCCTCAAGACCACCCTCTGGGAAGATAGTCTCTTCCTTTCGAAGATGACAGATGACTTGCCCAGGAGCCTGGGCTAGTCAGTGGCAGATCCAGGCACTGGACCATTTGTTTTTGGACTGGCTCTTGGGTACTCTAGAGACCCAAAACCCACTTATCACAGAGTGCCAACTGTGCAATTAAACCTCAATACTGAGGCTTTAGTTTAGAAAAAAAACAACTCTACATTAATATCTTTTGTGTTAAAATAAAAGAAAAGCAGGGGCAGGGAATTAGCTCAGTGGTGCCACCACCTGCCTTGAAAGTGAAAGGTCCTGAGTTTGATCCCCGGTACCAAAAAAAAAAAAAAGAAAGAAAGAAAAACAAATGCCACAGATTCACCACCACTGCTATGGTAAGGTTCTTAGGAGGAGTGACCAGCACCATCCTGCACGTTGACCACACTCTGACAACACCTGGCACAGGAGGGCCCTGCACACACACCGCAGAGACCCACAGTCTGAGAAGTAAGCGGAGTACTTGGTCGTGGAACCAGCGGGTAGGAGAGGTAATGCAGGGCACTCTGCAGACCTTTTGAGAAACAAAGTTATTTTATTTGTAATTTCTTCTAAAGATTTGTTTCCCTTGAAGTTAATTTTCAGACAGCTTCCTGGGTTCAGCAGTAAGTGGCAGGTCTGCCTCCCAGACAGACATATGACTCACATAAGTATTTTGCTCAGCATAGTTATTTTGGCTGTTTGTCTGTCTCCCCCACCAGCTCCTTGGCGGGTTTCTATGCCCTAGAAAGTTTAGGACAGTGTGTCTTGCATGTTGAGACTAATAGGGTAGGAGTCAGACCATCCCAGGTTCACATGCCAGCTCTACCACTCACCAGCTTCAGGACCTCAAATAGGTTGTTCAGTCTTCCCAAGCCTTAGTTTTCACACCTGTAAAATGGGGATAGTCACAACTCTTGTCACACTGGGTCTCTACGATGATCCTGGGAAAGGTCTGGATGAAAAGATATTGTAAGCACTGAAGGGTCATGCATGGTAGGATGGTTGTTGCTGTTCAGGAAAGGCTTGCTATATTAGACAAAATTTAATAAACAGTATAAAAACAGTACAGTACTGTAAAAAGAGGCACTCAGCAGTCACAGAGGCCCTGTTGGCAAAGCCCATTACCAGTTAGGCCTGGCAGTGTGAAGTAGGAATAGCTGTGAAAATGCTTCTCCTTCAGGGAACCCTAAATCTCCACCCCAGTATCATCTGTAACCACCAGTCACCTGGGTCTCCCTCCCAAGTATGGTCCAGGGGTCCCTCCAGGTCTGAAAGAATCTCCTCTGCCCTTTCCCCATACCAGATGTGACATGTTATAGATTGCTTGATTTGCTTAGGTCAGAGTGTCCAACTTGTGCAGGAAGTATTAAATAGATTGCTGGGTCCCAACCCTGCGTTTCTGACTCAGTGGGTCTGGGGTAAGATATGAGAACTTGCACTTCTCACATGTTTCCATCATGCTGCTGATCTGGGTCCCCCCACTTTGAGAATCTCAAGCTCACTGAGTACATACTATGCATGAGACATGTGGTGGGGGTGAAGCTAGGAAGCAGATGTCGCATCGTGGGTCAGGCAGGGTCACTATCTCCTCCATCCAGAGAGCCTTCCCTGGAATGGCCAGTTCCTTCCCTCTCTTCTTACCGACTGGGTTGGGATGCCTCTTCTATGCTCCTGCTGTAATCTGTGTGGGTTTATTTTGGAACAGCCAGGTGCATACTCGTCAGTGTCGGCTTGTGGGTGCTACTGCTGTGTTTTGTACCCCTTAGGCAGCCTCCCTCTTGAGTTTGATATATTCCCAGCCTCATCAAGTGAGGCTAAAAGGGCAGAGAAAGGGAAAGTAAGGTCCTAGGTATGTCTGTTTCCTAAACAGTTGTGAGTCATCTCTGAACCAGCTCAGTTGGGTAATTTTAAATAATCTTGTTAAGATAAAGAAGGAGGGGAAGGACAGGAAACTAAAATTAATGGGCAACAATTATGAACTTGGCGTAGTTTAACCCTACAGAGCCCTGCAAGGTGGGAGTTGCTTTGCTGTCATCACCTAGATGACTGTCCTGAGGCTCAGAGTGAGAAGCTTGCCCACAGACACATGGCAGTGAACTTTGGTCACTCTGACGCTAAGCACTGGCCCTCTCCACTCCTGCATTGATACCTTGATCGTGGAAAGGTCTATTTAAACTTGCCCTTCACCTTGTTCTGGTGTGAGATGGCTTAGGGCAGTGGTGGAGAACCTATGGCATGTGTGCTGCAGCCAGCTGTTTGTTATTGAAAACTAAAAGGTTCGCCATCACTGGCTTAAGGTGTTGTCTAGGCTAAAGCAGTTGTACTTGCCTGTTCTGTGTTAACCTTTTGATTTGTCCCTGTCCCCCACAAATGCAAATGCTCTGAGGCTGGTAATATTGATGTTGGGTGCTGTGGGCACCGCACCAAATTGCTGTTCCCACCAAGCCCCATGACTCACCCTCAGGTGCTCAGACTAAACATGCCTGACCTCTTCAGACGGTTCCTCAGGGAATCTTAGACCTGGCCACTGCCACCTTGTTGCACCAGCCATCTGCCATTTCCTTCTCACCACTGTTCCCAGGATGCTTCTTGTCTCCTATACAACTTCCCAGAATGCCTCAGGCCTGCAAGGAAATTAACAATTGTGTTTGTACAGAGCTTTTTACTGTGTAATGAGTAACATTCGTAATTAATGTTTAACACATGTGAACAGCAGTTCTCCCCACAAAGAGGGGTTTCAATAAGAGAACTGGAATCACTCACTTTCTTTGGCTAATATATTACTGAGGGACAGGTTTTTCCAGTTGGTTTTTCTGTTTGATGTATGAATAAATTCGCTTAGTAACCTTTTAAAAAAATGAAAAGAAAAACATCAGCATTTAATAGCTTTGGTTCATCTGCTAATTATATTCACAGAAATGTTCCTTCAGGCCTCTTTGTCTCCTTGGTGGAAGAAAACCCAAAGATTTGATAGACTATCTTTTGCCCTTTTGTCTGATCAAAGATCTAAATAGAGACTTAAGCTCTGTGAGATCAGAGACCCTGCCTGCCTTGTTCACACCTGGGTCCCTACCTCTGTGCCTGGCACATAATGAACACCAAGGTATTTGTTAAATTACTAAGTCAAGTCCTGGGAAAATTAGCCCCAAGTTCTCTTACAGTGCTGAGTTCCGCAGATGACCCTGTGGCCTGTCCACACACGTTTTGCTTCCTGTCATTCCTGTGTGCCATGTACCTGTCTCTTCCGGGATGGCGCTGGTGAGACCTGCAGGTTGTTAACACTTTTGACTGGCTGTTGACTACCTTGGTTGCTACCTCTTGTCTGAACTTCCAACATGATGCTAAAAGTGTATCCCTGCCTATCCAAATTGGCTGAGTCTGGATGCCTCATTGAGTGTTCTGGTGGGTAGCAGACAATTCCATGAGAGCTGTGTTTGTGGCCAGCGCTGGTTTGTCCCCTCCCATTTCTTCTCACCTTCCTTCACTGCCATCTGCCGTGGGTTATGGCAGAATCATACACAGCTGAACAGGAAGACTCATTTCCACAAGTGCTCACCCTCCTCTGGGTGGGTCCTTGGGCTTGTAGATAGAGGAAAAATCTCTTTCCTAGGTTTTTGGATTCTGATTAAGTGGGTGTCTGCAGGTAAAAGTGTCATAAGGCACTGCATTATATGTGACCAGGTCCCAGATATGCCTGGTAGGTGAGCTCAGCCCAAGATTCAGGATAGAAGTAGGTACTGGAGTCAGAGGTTTGGATTTAAAGCCTCTGCTGCTACTTGCTAGCTAGTCTGGGCAAGCAGCCTCTGCTTCCTTATCTGTAAAATGGGGGTGTAACTAGGTGCTGGGAGTTGGGGACACAGTGCATCTACTGTGCTATACTTTGTTAGTAGATGTTAGCTCTTGATATTGCTGTTGTTACTATGATGGGTTTTGAGAATGTATTCTACTTTAGGCAGATTTATTCTGAACTTGTTAAGACCTTGGGATTTGAAAGACCTAGTTCAAGTCCAAATTCTAGTCTAGCCATTGATGTTGGCAGAGTCAATCGATCCCCTTCCCATCTTCTGTTTGTCCTCTGTGGACTGAGGTGTGATGGTAAAGATGTCTGGCTCTCACAGCTAGAAAGGCCTCTGTGTTTGGGGCATTTAATCCTTTTCACCAGGCTTTAGGCTTTTCCTTAGATCTTCTATGGCCAAGCACTCAGCAGTGGTGTCCATGTTTTTCTTTTTGGGAGAGGTCACAAATCAGGGCAAAGACAATCTTTCTGCCAGGCCTGCCTTCCCTGGCCCAGGCATCAGGTATTACCTGTGTGGGTGGTGATCCTAGAACCTGGGATTGTCCCAGAACCCTCTTTGTGGGGAGTCACTGCTCCTCTAGCTATTCCCACAGGGGAGGCAGTGCAGCCCTAGGGCCCATGTGTATCTGAAAGAGGAACACAATCTTACTGGAAGTCCCAGAAATAACCCAAACCCCTGCTGAGCTGCCATTGCCTTAACTGAGGGGAGAAGGGTCCGCATCTTGTAGGCCTTCAATTTTTCCGTCTGTAAAATGGGAATTCTAATGTGTGTCTAGTTGTGTGTTGGTGAGGGTCAGATAGTATTATATACATTTGAAAACTGAAATGAAATGGTAGGTGTCTGTTGTCATGGGAACGGAGTTTTAGTTATCTATGAATGCTTCCACATTGATGTGAACATTTATGGGATTTGTGTACACACAGGGGTCATGTGGTCCACTCTGCCTCCTAAACCTATGCCATCTCCCTCTTTACTCCCTCCAGCTTCCCTGCCTGGCTGTTGGCAATGCATAGGAATCCACAGCAGGGAAGTGTGGCAGGGACACGTTGGGCACCTGAACTCTGCCTTTGCTCCCTGGTGTGTTCACTGTGAGTAAATAGCAGGCTGGAGCAATCTGCAGGGCCCTCTGGCCAACCCTACATGGTTTACAAACATGGCCTACGCTCACTTCCTGATGAAGATGCCTCTTTGGCAGCGGAGAGCTTGCAAGTCACTCTGCACACAGCCTCTTTTTCTTAATCTAAGCCTCACTGCATCTGCCTGAAGGAGAGCTGGTCCTATGCCAGAGCTGGGTGGAAGGGTGGTGGCTGACACCCTGAACCCAGAGCGAGTGCCAGCCTCACCTGGGCAACCCTAGGTGAGAGGAGGGTGCCCAGGGTTGTCATCCCAAGCAGAGGGCTCAAGGGCTGGAGGCTGCGGCTGAGGCCCTGCTATCTGGTGTGGCATCCTGGCTGCTTAGCTTGGCCAGTGACACAACCACACAAGGCCTCATGTGTAGGCCTCATGTGCAAGGGCAGAAATACCACCAACCTCATAGGTACATGAGGGAAAACATGCTCTTCAAATCCTCCACAGCGCCTGTCCACGCCGTGGCTAAGAGTTGTCATTTTTCAAAACTATTTTAAAAGAATTAAAGGAGGGTGTCCAGCTCCTGCGTTTCCTTTTCTGACCAGTGAAGGTTTCATGGTCTCACTGAGCTGGGCAGAGTCATTCATTTAACAGACATCGGCCATCTGCTGTACATCAAGCACTGTTCTAGGTGCTGGGGTTAAGCAGCAAACAAATCAGAAAGTAGTGTCCTCTCCTTGGAGCTTTCAGCCTGGTCAGTAATCCAGGGAAGTTAGGGGAAAAGAAGTTTTTTTCTGATTCAGGGCACATTGCTCTCCTGAGTACATGAAAGGAACTCTTATAGTATGCATATGACCGTGGAGGGGACTGCCTGGACCTTGGTACACCATGTGTTGCTAATCATCTTTACAGTCCTTCATGGTGAAGTGTTGTCAGCCTTGGTTTGCAGATGAGGCAGCTAAGGCTAAAAGCAGTTTAGAAACATGCCCAGAGTCACCCAGTAAATAATGGCAGAGGTGGATTCAAACCCAGTCCTTCCTGACCTAAGTCCACACCTTTTATACATAATGCAGAGCTACTGTAGTTCCTCCATTCCCTGGCCCAGTTTCAGCCAGGGGCCATTGATTATAGCCAGCTGCCTGTCAGAAGGGAGACTGAGGCTCAAGGCTCCATCTCTGTGGAATGTTCTGGGAGGCCAGGGCTCGGACAGTGGTATAGACAAGGGACAGCAGGGCTCAGAGGAGGAGGAAGGAATTTTACCTGTGGTTCTCAGGCAAAGGTTGCCTGGAGAGATAGCATTTAAGCTGAACTTTGAGTAATCACTGGAATTTTTGCAGGCAGATAGTAAAGGGAATTCCAAAGGTTTGACGCAGACAAAGCAAAGTCAAAAGGCCGATGACAGATGTGGAGACTCACCATCCTTGGTGACTAGAACCTAAGGGTGGGGTGGAATCCAGAGAGTTTATAGGGAAAAATGCATCTGGACGGTCAGTCCAGGATCTGAGTCCCTGAGAACCATGAGCTCCAGAATGAGGAGTTTGCCTTTGTTCTGGGGCACTGGGGAGTTAGTGAGGGTTTGTAAGTACAGGAGAGCTGTACTTCAAAGGTTCATTGGTTTTCTGGAGACTGCTGTCTCTGGCCTTCTCTAGACAGTGGATAGGAAGGAGATCCACTCTGAAAAAACATATTTGTCTCATTCCAGCACTCGCTTTCCAAACACCCTCTCCATGCCAGGCTCTGCAGTGAGTTTAGGAGCAGACAAGGGAGTGGAGAAGGCAAAGGGAAATCAGTCCCAGGCACTGTCCCACAGAATGCCGAAATGGACTGGGTGTCCCTGGAGCTACAGGAGGGATGCCAAGGGCATGAGCCAAGGGATGGAGAAGTTTATCCTGTGCAGGAACCCAGGGAAGTGTTGTGGAGGAGCAGGGTTTCGTTTGTGCTGGATCCTGGAGGCCTCTGGACATCATAGAGATGGAGCAAGAGGCTGGGAGGCAAGTGAGAGACAGTGAGGTATTCTGATGGTGATCCTGGCCCTCCGGCACCAGTCCTGGGCTCACCCTCAACCTGCCACTGGGCTTCAAGACCCTGGACAGGCACACCCTCCCCCACCCTTCTGCAGGCCCTCACCCATTGTCCTCATGGCAGGGTTATTAGGAGAGTTGGTGCTAATGGAGGTGCTCAGTCTTCTGTCATTGGCAGTGTCCAAACTTGGTTGGTGTAAAGTCTATAACACAAGTAGAAAAGGAGCTGCTGGCTTCCAGACAATCCAGAGGAAGGACAAGGAAAGCCTCTCAGAATGTGGGGACCTTTAAGCTGATTTTTAGAGGATGAGCCCTGTCACCTGGTCTGACCTCTTAGAAAGACACTTGGGGCAAGACAGAGGTGGCTAGCTGGCTGGCTGAGCCCAAGAGGACATTGAGCAGGCCACCTCTGCACCACCACCAGATCCCATCATTGGAACCAAGTCAGATGGGCTCCCAGTGTCTCATCCTACTCAGCTTTGAGTCTCCCTCCCTACTGCAGGAGTCTCACTTCCCTTTTTAATTGCCTATAGGTGGAATTCATTAGGTTCTGTCATTCTAACAACTCACAGGGGTAGCATATCTTTTCTCTAAATGTGGATATTCTTTTGAGGGATTGTATCTTTATCTTTTACAGAAAAATCACTAAATTAAAAGAATTGCCATTTTAAATTGCAGATTAAAGAGAAACTTAATTAGAAGGGATGAAAGCAGTTGTGTTTGCAGCTTTTGTTCTTAAAAATGTTTTTCTCTTTGCCTGCCGAATCACTGCCCTTGGAGTTTGTATATTTGTATTTTAGGTGAAATGATTTGCCTAATTAAGCCTGTCATTCATCACCACCTGTTCTCTCTAAAATATATGGCTGCTTTATTAAGCTTGCCAGCGAATGCATAAATTAATTCAGTGGGGAATTAATGTTGACTAGGATGTTCTGAGGTTTTATCCAATTTATCTGGTAGCAAAACCGATACTTTTTTCCCAGTAAAGCAAAACAGCAGCTCATTAAGCTTCTTCATTTAGCATTCATGGAGCACCTGTCACCCTGCAGGTACTATAGTAGGCTTAGGTACAGGGGCACATATGGTACAGGCTCTGCCCTCAGGGACTCACAAGGAGCCAGATAAGGAAACTGGTGAGTAGGGTGCCATGGGCTGGGATCAAGGTGAATCTGGGAGAGGTTAAGATCAGGAAAAGCTTTCTGGAAGAGGTGGGCCCTGATGGGTAAATGGAGGCAGTCAGATGACCTGAGTCTAGACAGCCAGGCGCCAGAGGGCCTGATGGTTGTGCCGCAGAGCTGGTTCCTCTCCGAGTCTCTGGTCTGCACTTCCCTTTTCCCTCCTTCTGTGGCAGGAGGCCTGTTGGGGGCTTCTATATTAGCTGAAATTCCTAATCCTGATTTTAGCAACTGGGGCCCCAAGATGCCAGACCTGAAAGTGAATTACAAGTCATCTAGTCCCTCTCTCTTGAGCCTCTATTTAAAATTAAGCCTTGACCTTCACTCCAGCTTCATGCCCTCCCCATGCCGATCCTACTGAGCTGCTTCCTGCTGTTCTTGACAGTGACAGAGTTAGCAGAAGGAGCCATTATGGCTCCAGCACACACCAATTCCATCTTGGTGAAGGCTATGCTCTCCCTTAAGCCAGAAATCTGTACCCCACACGATCATCCTCCCTGATTTGCCCAGGGTAATCCTGTGCTCTTGGGAGTCACCTATGTCCACCCACCTGCACTGGTGCCCCGTTTCTGGGGTTCCCCAAACACCACCATCAGCAGGCAGATGTTGACTCTCAAAGCCAGCCTAAGAATGTCATTCTCTGATTATCCCCATCCATATGATCAAGCTCTTTAGAAAGGGGCTCCATGACCTGGCCCTCACCTGTCCACCTGGACCCAGGTGGACACCCTCGCCCCGACCCAAGGTCACCCAGCAAGGGCTCTGCAAAATAGGTACTTGGGTCAGGACCTCCACCCCTTGCTCCCCTCTCCCAGGAATATGTAGCCCATCTGATCAGTGCTGTGAAGGGCTAGTGCATTTCAGCAGGAGCCTGGGAGAGATCCAGATCTCCACTGCTGGGGGTGGGTGGGGTGCGGCGCCAGGGAGGGACAGAGGTCTGTGGTGATGTGAGGGCCAGCACTGTTGATGGGAAGCGGTGCAAGAGTCCTTCGAAAGCAGTGCCAGCCAGTGCCAGCCATCTTCCTAGTGCTCAGGCCTGAGCCTGCATCATCCCTGACATTTCTTCCATGCTCCACTTAGAGTCACATGAGGCCTGCCCTCTTTCCCTGTGTATTCCCTCTACCCATCTCTTCCAGTTAGTTAACTCTGTATTTCAGAGAAGTTTTAGGTTAACAGCAAAATTGAGTAGAAAGTACAGGGAGGCCCACATGCCTCCTGCCCTCCATCTCTTTTCAGCGCAGCAATCCTGTTTATAGAGAGCTAGATTAAACCCTTCCCCATCAAAATGCCAAACTCTTCATATCATTCACAACAAAACCAAGTCCCTCCCCAAATTAATGAGATCCAGTTATCTGGCCCCTGCACCAGTGGCCCAGACTGTTGTGCTTCTTACACACCAGGTTTAGGCCACCTCCATTTTTTCTCTGCCAGGAATGTCCTTCCTGCGGATGTCCCTCCTTCTTTTCTGATATTTACCCAGACATTGCTTACTCTGCCCTGCTGTCTCTGTGACACTTGTCATCAGCCATTGATGTACTGACTTATTGCCTGTCCCTCCTCCCCAGGACTCCAGGCCATCAGGCAGGCATTCTTGTCTGTTTTCCCAGCTTTGAGCCATGGCTGGCATCTGTGAATGACTATTTCCCAATGTTGTTGGTGGAAGGACTGCCTGCCAGATCCTACTGCCGTGCTCTGTACTCTCACAAGAGCAGGTGGGTCCAGGGTGTCTGGGAGATTTTCATGGCAGGGGCCTCCCTTCCCAGTTTTCTGTCGTGGTTAATGGAAAAAGAGTATCTTGGAAGAACAGACATGCCTCATCAGATCTAGTGGAGGAGACTGCCCAGTAGCTGAGCCACAGAGCAAGTTTATTTGCATTTCTCAGTCCCAGGAGACAGCCTGGTTGCCATATTCCAGACTGGAATCTCCCCACCACTTTCCATGAGCATGAGGAGTGATTGCCCTGTATCTGAGGTTGGAGGATTTCCAGCCACCTCCATGCGTGCTAGCTAGAGGGGAGCTTCCTGCCACTGGGAGGCTCAGCTGAGGATGCTTGACTTGGCACCCTCTGTGTACCAAGAGTATTCTTTCTCTCTTCGCTACAGCCAGTGAGATAAAAGGAGACTCAGGGAGGGTAAGTGCCTTAGCCAAGGCACACACACTGGGCATTGGCAGACTCAAGAGAGCTTAGTTTGGTAGCTGATATGAAGCCCTTTGTATTGTGTCTGCTTTGAGCAGGCATCATAATAATAAAAGTATGCATTTATGTGTAACATTGAGCATAGATCCGTGTTAAGCCCTCTTCTTTAGATCTCTTTGAGCCTTACTTGATTTAATCTCCAGGAAATGGGTGCTGTTATCCCTGTCTTTTAGAGAATGAAAGGCTCAGGGAGATAACTTGCAAGATGGACTAGCTAGTTCCCAGGAACCCTTCTGGCAGTTAGTTTTGGCTTATTATATTCTGCTCTTTTTGGGGTGTTTGCATAGGGCAGTGTACTACCCCAGCCTCCCTTGGGCCTGGGCCATGAAGAAGGTTCTGAAGGAGGAGGACCAGATTCAGGATGCAACGTGAACCTTGAGTGAAGCTCTATAGAGCTGTCCTAGGAGAAAGGGGGCAGATGGGACCACGGTGGCCCTGGGTGTGATAGGTGTGCCACATCCCCCATTAGAGGATGCAGAGAGATTCCTGTGGAGATAGGGCTGGGCTCAGTGACCTCTGGAGCCCCAGCTAGCCCCTTCAGTACATAATCTGGCTTTGACAGCACCTCCATGTCCTGTTTTGGGAGGCTATTTTAGCCCATTTTCTGTTGTAATAACAAAATGCACGAGATTAGGTGATTTATACAGAAAAGAAGGTTAGCTTGGTTCATGATCCTAGAGGCTGGGAAGTCTAACGCATGGTACTGGAGAGGGCCTTGTGCCACTTTTGCTGATAGCAGAAAGCAAAAGGGCAAGGGGGACACACGCAGCAGGGAGAGAAAGCATGAGGGGCCACCTTGCTTTATAATAACCTGCTCTTGGCAGATAGCCCAGTACCAAGATCCACTTGTGTGGGGGGTACATATTCCATTCATAAGGGTGCTCTCTCCAGGCTACAAACACTGCCTGCTAGGCTCTACCTCCCAATACTGCCACCTTAAGGAATCAAGGGTCCAGCATGTAAGCTTTGAAAGGACATGCTCAAACCATGGCAGAAACCAACATTTTTGGAGCTGTGCTTTTTCGTTACCTGAAACTCTTCCTCCTACAGATTGTATGCTGAACAGTTGCCCCAGGTGTGCCCCCCAAGAGCCTCTGGGCTGAGCTCCGAGTAACTATGTGCTGTTTCTATCTCTGTGTCACAGCCCAGTTCAATGGCAATGAGAAACGGCAGTCATCCCCCTCGCCTTCAAGGGACCGGCGGCGCCAGCTTCGTGCTCCTGGAGGGGGCTTCAAGCCTATCAAGCATGGGAGCCCTGAGTTCTGTGGGATCCTGGGAGAAAGAGTGGATCCTACTGTCCCACTGGAGAAGCAAATGTAAGTTCTTCCAGGGCATAGCCCAACCTCATCTCAGTTCCTGTAGTCACTGAGAGCACCTTAGAGTCGGGCCTTTTGCCTAACACTGCCTCCCCACTGTGGTACAGGAAGCAGGTTGCAGCTCATGGAGTTGAGACTCCAGGCAGTCAGTGGCAGCCCTGGCCTTATCTCTCCACCCTGTATTGCCAGCTTTACCCTCACTGGTCTGCATAATTCTGTCCTAGTTTCTTATTACATCATGCAGCAAGTCAGTTCTTGAAAAATAAGTGGAAAGTAAGCCTGTCCTCTCAGTGTAAATTAGGGGGTTTTTTTCTAGCCACAGTGAGTGATGTTTTGTCTGTACGTTAGCTTGATATAAATTGGGCAGCTCCTTCACATTCTTGATTTAGGTTTGCTCATCCCTTTTCTGAGATGTCCCACTTCCACTCAGTGGCCTAGTCCCTCCCATAGAACCCCTGAATTCTGGTACCCTTTTCCTCCTCACTGCCCCCTGCACTGTGCTTGGCCAGGCCCTTTACTGCCCATTTCCTTGGCCATGATTATCTCCCTGATTGCCGGAGTCTCACTGTGCAGATAGATCCCTGCCCCGCTCTGAAACCTTCAGCAGCTGCCCAGTACCTCCAGAACAAAATTCCATCTCCCTAGCCTGCCATTTGCTCTTGTGTTTTGCCCCAGACTACGTTTTCCATTTCCCACCTTCCCACGTACCTGAACTTGGGTGAGTTTTTCTGAACTTGATAAAGCAGGGATGGAATCTTGTGCTGGTACCTTTAGGTGTATCATTTGCTTAACAAGCAAACATGCTATGAAAGGGATTAGCATTCCCACTGCATACATGGGAACATTGGGGCCTAGAGTGATGCAGAAGTTGGCTAAGACTTGTGTTCCTCAGCTCATGATCTGTGCCCCAACCTTCCCTTATTCCCGCACCCCTTAAATGTCACTCATCACCGACCCTGGTAAACACTTGGCCAAAGTAGGCCCTTCTTAAGGCCAAGACACCAGTGTTCATCATCCTCTGTATTAGTCTTGGCCCAGGGGATTCTCGTATTGCACAGGCAAGTGTGTCTCCTCGAAAGAAAGGCTCACTTGCAGAGAAGGATGCATGTGCTATAACCACATGTTGACCTAGGAGGCTGTAGCTTCCTTTATGGCCACCACTCCTGCCCTGCAGAGCTCCCTGGGGTCACTTCCTGCGGGAGGGTTAATCACCTCACAGCCACACAGATTGCAAGGCAGGTTTTGCTTATTTTTGCTTGATCTGTGCACTTTTATGAATCAACAGAATATGATCCAGAGATGCCTAGAAGCTATTCCATGTGCATCCTGACAGCAGTGGCTGGGTATGCCTGGAGTCAGCCTGGAACCGGCCTACCTTCTCTTAGCTGCTGGTCAAAGCCTTAGTTCCAGGCAGCTGTGCTCCCTTCCTTTCCCATTCCCACCAGACAAGGCCCTCTGCCAGGTCCAGTCATGACTGGCTTTCCTTCCTCCTCTGTCTCGACTCCCCACAATTGTCCTGGCCTTCCAGAAGCCTTAATTCATCACTAAGAGGTGTGCATAGGTAACCCACTTCTACTAGAGCACTAGGAAGATGGGAAGAATCACCCATCCTCCCCAACACCCCAGCACCACCTTCACCCCACCACCTCAGTGCCCTGGGTGATGAAGCTACAGAGTTAAAGTAGCACCTTCAGTTCCAGACCTCTCCTCCCCTCACCCACCACCCCTCCATCCTGCATCATCATTACCACCAGCATGCAAACATGTTCTGGCCCTGAACTTTGTCTAAATGAGTAAATAATGTAATCTTGACCCCCATGCTTCCCTGTCTGTCATACCTTTTTCAGGCTGCCATTGCATCCTCATTGCCTGGCACAGTTATAGGTGCTCAATAAATGGCTGTCAGCTGAATGAAGTCCCCGAAGATCTGTCAGTACTTCTACTTGCTCCATCACCTCCTTTTTTCTTTCACCAACCACAGCCAGCTCCCTCTTTCTATCTGAGTCCCTAGACAGTCTCCTCCACCCTCCATGGGAGTCAGCACAGCTTGCAGCTCCCTCCTGGGGCTCTATTCCTGGTTTCTCCTGCCCTGCTGGCCATTTCTTCTGCCTAGTCGATAGCTCCTGGCTTCTGCTTTACCTGAAGGTGAGCTTTGCTGGGCTCGATTTCCAGCTGCAGGATCTCCCAGGGGAGTCACTCTGAGGATCCTGATGATGATTCGCAGGTACCTGGCCCCAACCCATAGTTCTCCCAGACCTCCTCACTCCCACTTCCAGCTGTCTTCCTAGCATTTCACACTTGACATGTTCAGGAACTGGACTCCTGATCACCTGGAAACTTGCTCCTCCCCCAGCTTCCACATCACTATGTCTAGTTGTGGCTCAAGCCTTCTGGATTCCTCTTGAGACCTCTTTTTGCCTTACATCAGCAGCTGCTACATTACCAAGGTCTGTGGCTAGTCCTTCCTGCAAAACACTAGAGCCAGGCCTGTTGACACATGCCTGTAACCCAGTATTCCTGGAGGTTGAGCCAGAAGGATCACAAGTTAGACCCCAGTCTGGGCAACTTAGTGACTTAGCAAGACTCTATCTCAAAATGAAAAATAAAAATAGCTGGGGATATAGCTCATTTCGAAGACCCTGGGTTCAATTTCCACCAAAACAAAACAACAACAAAACCTGAATTTGCTTGTTCCTCCCTCTTCTGAAACGATGTCCCACCTGCTGACTTGTCTCCTGCTTCTCCTTGGGGGAGTCTGGCTAATCCTCTGTAATATCGACCAAAGCCAGTAACATTACTTTATAACACTCTTCCTCCTCAGGGTGTTTAGGATGAAATCAGACTCACAGGGCCTCAAGTAACTTGTCCCTGCCTCCCACTCCACTCTCATCCTACAGCACTCTTATGTTCACAGTGCTGGGCCATTCTTGTCAACTTTCTGCTATGTGGGCACCCCAAGCACCTTCCTATCCCAGGACCTTTGTACTTGCTGTTTATGCTGCTGAGATCTTTCCTTTGGTCCTTTTTACCAGGGTCTCAGGTCAAATGCCATAGCTTTAGGGGCCTTTCTTGACATTCAAAACAGGCAGCTCCCCCCAAACCAGTCACTGCCTTACAACCCTCATATTCCTGTATACCACTTGTCACTGTCTGGAATGGTTTTCCAATATCTCTCTGTTGGTTCCCCCTCTCTGCATCAGCCCCATGAGATGAAAAGTAGCATGAACAGTAAGTAAATATTGGATGAACTAGTAGATATTGCTCGGATGAATGTGTTGGTTGAATCTCCCTAATCCCCCAATTCTTGACTGACTCCACAGGGTCCCTGTGATGGCCTCCTGCCTGGAATCTCTTTTAGTGCAGGCAGGGCCTCCACAAGACCACCCAAGCCCAGTCTGTCCCTGGTATACAGCTGCCTGTTGGTAGGCTGCCAGCTGACTGGTGGCTTCTGACCCAATGCCCTTTGCTCCTTCTCTCCTTTGATCCTCAACCCCAAGTCTCCTGCCTTTCTCCCCCTGTGGAAAGGAACCAGCAGCTTATCCTGTTTACCACCAGGGATTATCCTTAATGAAGATTAAGGCCTCCCACCCCCAGGTCTTTCTGCAGCTGAGCAGGGCTTGCTTCTGTGCCCGAGGAGGGGCAGGCAGGGGCAGCACTTCCCTGGAGACCCTCTTCTAGGCCTTTCCCTGAGGACGGCTCAGCTTCAAATGGCTGGAAGTTGTTTTCCTAATAAATGTTTTTGTCAGCTCGCTGGGGGTGTGTTACACAGGCCAAGTCTCTGGAGGACAGTCTCACTAGATCTGTTGACTCTATTTCCAAAGCCAGCTCTGCCTCTGACTGATCCTCCCTTTATAGCCCTGTGTCCTCTCTAAAGTATGCTTGGGCCTTCCTGGCTTTGGAACCACTTTCATCATTGCAGCTCACACATCCCTTGACTTCACAATCCTGTTTCTGTGTAACTGGAGAAGAAAAAGTGGGTCTGAAGCCTGCTCGCTCCCCTGGCCCCTGACAGAGGCAAGTCTCCTCTCCAGATTCTCAATTCCATGGCCACAGATGTTCTCCAATCCTCATTTCTTGAAAACTGTTTTTCAAGGTATAATTGTCGCCACTGCTGCTGCTCACTGGGGAGCACTACCTTGTCAGTGACAGGAAGTGCACAGTGGCCACCAGTGCAGGGCAGAATGTCTGTGTCAAAACCCTCAGAGGTACCGCCTCCAGGGCATGCATCAGGAGGCAGAGTCCACACGTAAGCTGGAAATGTGACATGTAGTCTGTGGACTGCAGGAACTCAGAGTCCTCATAGATGCCGATGTCATCTGCATAGGCTGCTGGACCAGGTTCTCTGCAGGTGCTCCCTGTGCAGTTTGTTGAAACCCACCCACCATAGGCTCCGTACAAGCCTTCCTGTAGGTCATTTGTGTCATCTCATAGCTCCTGGAGAGGGCTGCCATGACCCTAACGTGGTAGGGAGCAGAGGTTCAGCCAGCTCCAGCAGGTAACCCTCACTGCCTGGCCTGTGAACACGGAGCCATGATTCAGAGACACAGCCGTGCCTCTGCCAGTGTCCAGCATCTCTGCTTCTCTTTCTGGCCCCATATCTCACCACCTCTCGCTGATGTGCCCCTCGTTGGCTTTGAGTGGGTCCACTTGCTGGCAGTACAGAGCTTTACTCTTTCACTGGGGTTTGACCTCCAGCAGTTGCAGCCATGAAGAGCAATGTTCCCATTTCACCCTGTGCTCGTGGGCCTTAGGCCCTCTGCCCTCTGCCCCCTTGTTCCATTCTGTCGAGTGTGGTATCTGGAAGCAGTGACGCTGGGATTCCCATGTGTCCAATTAGTGCGGAGGACATTAAGTGGGAGCAGCCACTGTACTCCAACTGCCCTGTCCTGAGTAATGAGCACCTGTCCCCTTGCCTCGCGCATGTCACAGTCAGAGCATGGCCTTCCCATTAGCACCCTTTGATGGATTCCATGTCTCAGACAGAGAGAAGCCTCTGCACCCAGCCCACCTCTCGGGTAGCATTGCCACCTGAACCCCGGGGACACTGGCCCCTGCCTGCTTCCAGAATACATTGTGCAGACTCGCACTTTGGCCTCTGCATTGGCTGCCCTCCCTCTCCCCAAAATAATCCTTTCCAGCTGCTCTCCTTCCTGGTCTTCTCTTACCACCCGTAGCCCTGCACTGAAATGTCACTGTCTCCACACAACTTTCCTGGCCACTTATCTGTCCCCAGCCATGTGACCCAGACTCAACTCTATCTCTATCACTCCTTTCACCAGAGTGTGCCTGCGTGACCATCTAGCAGCTGTTGCCTAAGCCCTGAGCCAGAGTGTGAGCCTCTCGAGGGGGAGCTCCTGGGTTTGTTCATTGGCCCCCGACGGAGCTGGCGTGTAGCAGATACTTGGTAAACAGCCACTGAAGGAAGAAATCAGTGGATACCTGCTCTCTTAGTTACTTTTCTCTCATTGCTGAGACAATATACACGGCACCCAAAGTTAAAGGAGGAAAGGTTTATTTAGTTCACAGTTCATAGAGGTTTCATGCTGGAGACTTAGCTCAGTGGCACCATGCCTTCCTTTAGAGGTTTCAGTCCATAATCAGCTGGCTCCAAGCCAGGGTGGCACATGGCAGAGGGGCAACAGTACATGACAGACCAAAGGTAACAAAGCAACAAGGGACCTTAATGGCGTTTTGCAGCCCCTTTTATCTTATCCAGACTACCTGGAGAAGGTAGCACTCACAGTCTTAATCCTAGTGCCCTTGAGCCTAGCAGTACACCATGAATCAATCCCAGCGTCACACACACTAGATCCAGCCACCTCTGAAAAAGCCCCACCTGTGACTGCATGAGGCTTTAGAGGGACATCTAGACACAAACCATAGCACCTTCCTTGTTCCTTGGTGGCCAGGGAGCTGGCAGCTGCCTCCAAGGGTGCCGAGCCTCCCTGGGTGGTTTGCAGCAGCCCAGTTCCCACAGGCTCTGACCACACTCTGCCCTCTTCCCAGATGGTATCATGGAGCCATCAGCAGAGGAGATGCCGAGAACTTGCTGCGCCTCTGCAAGGAGTGTAGCTACCTCGTGCGGAATAGCCAGACCAGCAAGCACGACTACTCCCTGTCACTGAAGTGAGTACAGCACTTACACACATACACACACCGCCCCTATAGCCCTGGCAGAGCCTGCAAAGACCCACAACACCCCTCCTCCTGGGGAAGCTGCTGCCACAAGTTATTTTAAGACTTGGGTTTTTTATTTGATGCTCCTCTTCTGGGACCCAAAGGAGTTGTTATGCTTTCCATTGCTGCCTTCCCAGAGACAAGGACTCTTGTCTAGGGTTCACTTAAGTAGCTGGGAATAGTCTCATGCATGCTGTGGGCTAGGGCCTGTCAGAAGCTCTGACTGTCCCCTTCCTGTCTTAAATATCACTGTAACCCTCCAATGAGTAGATTGTCCCCATTCTGCAGATTGAGAAACTGAGGCTCACAAAGGGTATGCCTGGCCCATGTGGCAGGGCCAGAACTCAAGAGCAGCCATTTCACTCTCCACAGTGCCACATGGCTGCTGTGAGGAGTGAGGATGCTTTCCTTAGGCTCTGAGTTGCTGTTTAGGCAGCTCTGGTGTTTTTTTGGTTCGGGGGATCGAACTCGGGACCTTGTGCTTGCGAGGCAGGCAGAACCACTGAGCTAAATCCCCAGCCCTGCTCTGGTTTTTATATGGGGAAGAATCCTGGTGGTGTTGCCTATTGTTGCTTTGTAAGCTGTCAAGTCTTTCTGGCCTGTGAGGTGTTGTTGTCCGGATGGTGGGTTCATAAATGAGCGTTTGAGGTTGGCTGCTCCATTATTCAGTGTTACTGCTGGCTGAGACCTTGTGTAGTTCGGGTTGGCTTTGAACTCACTCAATAGCCCAGGCTGACCTCGAACTCAGAGCATTCTTTCAGCCTCAGCCTCCTGAGTGCTGGGATTACAGGCACATGCTACCATGCCTGGCTTAAAATATCTTCTAAAACACATTTTACAGAGAAGAAAATTGAGGCCCAGAGTAAGGAAGGATTTGCCAAGGACTCAGCAACATTATTAGGGCATAAACCTGGGCCCTTCTACCAGCACAAACCCCCCAGAAATGGTGGTACCCTCTATGTGGCCTCTTCTCTGTCCTCACTTTCTGTTCCTAGTGGACCTGTCATCCTGCTGTCAGAACTCACACATGTGCTAGCAGTGTAGACAGAAGTCTCAGTGCAGCCAGGAAAGAGGAGGCTGGCCTGCAACTCTGCTGTAGACCAACCCTCCCCAGTGTGCTGGGCTCTGCCCCGAGAGGGGCTGTGCCAAACTGCAGAGCATGGGGAAGGCAGCAGGCACAGGCAGAGCTCTGGTAGAAGGGAGGATATGCAGAGACCTTCAGGCACAACACTTCTCTCAAGGACCATCAGGGAAGGGCAGATGTGGTCACATATGTTCTCCAGAAAGGGGGTTTTTGGCAGACAGAGTCCAGCCCCAGGAGAGAAATTTTGTAGAAGAGCTAATAAAAAATTAGGGCAACCCAAAAGTGTTTCAAGGTAGTATTTTGTCACTGGGGGAGTCCAGTCAGGGCTGGACCACTGCCTGGCCAGGGAGGATTCTAACCAAGTGGGAAGACACTGAAACATGCAAAAAGTAAGAGTACTTCTCTCTGAGCTGCTGGCACCTGTGTGCTTCATCATCTGCCATCAGACTTGATAGCTTAAAGAATCTGGTCAGTCATGGCAGTGCAGAAAAATTCAGTGTATTAGACTGAAGCTTGGCAGGTCAGGCAGTGGTAGCTAAAGCCAGAGAGCCATAATTGAATCAAGGCGAGGGCATTGGCATTGAGCTGTACTGCATCAGGCACAGTGGCAGGGCCAGGGCCCTGGGCTCCCCGCTGCTTTGGGCCACGCTGCCACCCCTCTCACTGCCCAGCGATAAGCTTGTAACCTGGCTAAATGGCCTCTTCTAGGCTGCAAGAGTTAAAGAAAGCCCTGGGACTCAGGTCACCAACCTTTCCCACAGCTCCTGTCAGCCTGCAGACTCCAAGGCATTGGTCATGCTGGGTCATCGCTCTTCCTGTCAGTCTGAGTTCTTCAAGAGACTCAGTCCTCCTAGCATCCCAGTTTAAAAGAACAGCCGTGAAAGAACTAATTGATAAAAAGAGGACAGGATGGAGTACCCCATGCTGTACCCAGCAATTCCTTCCACAGGGCCAGAGCCTCATCAGCTTCCCAGATTTCTTGTTCATTCCATGGGGAAGTGCTGAGCCCTGAACCAGGGAGGCTGGCAGGACACTGGGGCACTGTGGGTCTAGCACAGCCCTGCCTGCAAGGGACAGCCCACTGAATACCAGGACATATCATGTCTGGGATGCTGTTTAGGGAGTGCAGAAGGAATCCAGACCCTGTTGCAGAATAAATGATACCATAAAATGGTGCCCCGAGAATCTGTTTCTCAAGCCCCTGTACAACGGCCCCTAGTTACACAGACCCAAATGCCACCTCACAGATGGGTTTCCAAGGGCCAAGAGCACAGCCCCCTTTCATTCCTGCCCTGTGCTGGTCCTTAGATAGTAGGGCCCTCCCAAGGGCTGGACAGCACCTTGGATTTGTTCCCACAGTGCAGGCTTGTAGTCCAGAGGTCCTGGTGCTGTAATGAGGCAGTGGAGGACTACTCTCCCCTAGCTTCCCCACTCCCTGGCTTGTGGCCTCCATGCTTCTTTGTTGAGCCTCAGTGCCATATCATTATTACCTTCTCTGTTCTTGCCATCAGCTCTGTGATTTGATTGAAGTCCAATTTAAGAGACCTGTTGTCCAAAATTCCAGACAGGCTTCCTGTCCTGCCACTTACAGCTCATTGTGTGACCTTGGACAAGTTCCTTCCCCATATCTACCCAATGAACTTTGACTCTTCGCATGTCTCTGTCTGTGGCCTCAGCCCCTTTGTCCTTGGTATGCTCTGGCTGGTTGATCTGCACCTCCCAGGCCAGAGAGGAAAACCAGGAGACATGGCATGGTGACTGCCAGGACCCTAGACAAGAACCCTGCCATCCGACCCTGGTCTTTGTTGCTGCTCCCATGCTGTCAGATCTGATTATCAGGACTGGAGTTTGGATGACTAGTCTGTGCCTGGGGTGTTGGAGATGGAAGGTTTAGTTTTGCATGCTTGTCTAGAGCCATTAGATCACCATCCCCAAAATCCAGAGGGGTGGACTCACCTGGTCATCCTTCCCTTGAAGAAGCCCAAAGTGGGGAGGTGAGTTAGACCATCCAATGGCTGGACTGGGCAACCCACACCCGGGAGGCAGACTTGCTTCTCTGAGTGACCACTGCATCACCTGACCAGTCCACCTGCTCACCAGGGAGTAACACCCAGGCTTTAATCACCTCAAGCACAAGTGGATCAGCCCTGGTTCTGTGTGTTGCAGCTGCTCTGGGTGCACACCAGACTGCCAGCCACCGTGTGAGGGGTATGGTTTCTCACTTAGTCCAGTCTGCCTGCCACAACAGTGAAGTGGGGAATGGCATCCCTCTGCGCCATGCTGTCAGGAGTGGGTGCAAATTGATACTGGAATTCCAGCTATGCTGCTTCTCCATCTCTGGCATTTTCATGGGAGCCTTCCGGCCTGCTATGAGGCTGTTCAGGGTACAGAAAGCATTTGGGAGAGTCTGGCCTCAGAGGACAAGGCCCTCCACCCATTCCATCCTTCCTCAGAAGATATTTATAAAAGCCTTCTGTACCAGGCACTGGGCTGACCACCAGAAAGAGCCACGGTGAGGAGCGCCAGGTTTTGGGCTCAGAGCCTGGCCAGGTCAGCCTATACCTTGCTGCGTGCAGGTTTGTCTGCAGGGCCTGGGGATCCCAGAGGTGTCACACAAGTGCGTGGTCCCTGCTCCGGAAGGTTAGGAGCATCCGAAGTGAGGAGGCTGCACTTGAAGCCAGACAGAGTGGTGCATGCCTATAATCCCAGCTGCCCAGGAGGCGAAGGTAGGAGGATCACAAGTTTGAGGCCAGCCTGGGCAACTTAGTGAAATCTTGTCTCCGTAAAAAAGAAAAAAGTGCTGGGAGTATGTAGCTCAGTGGTAGAGCTCACCTGAGTACCACCCCAGCACCGCAAATGGAGAGACAGATGGAAGATAGGAGTTCCCCAAAGGTGGCACAGCCACAGAAGTGCAGAAGAACCTGGGCAGGACACCTGTGCCTCCCAGGACAGTTTGTCAGTTCTCAGTGCCAGGGTGTTGACTGACAGGCCCCACTCAGAATCCAGCTTTCGGGCTCCTCCCTCACACTTCAGCCCCACTTCCCTCAGCCTCCCCACTGAGTGTTAGCAGAGCTCAGAGAGCGCCTGCACACTCAATCCCTCTCAGAGGTCCTCCACAGCAGAAACCACCACCTCGAAGCTGGGCAGAGATCCTGCCAAATCGCTGTCGTCCTTTCCCTGTTCCCTCTGCCTGCAGGACCATCCCTTGTCCCCACCTCCAGTAGTGGTGACAGGTTGACCTCATACCCACCACTGGCCCCTGGGTGCACTTGAAAAGGGTTGGGACTTTAGAAGTTGGCAAGAAAATAGAAATTCTTAACACAGTTTCCTGTCTCTGGAAAGGCAGGCAGTAAGGAAAGGAATTTTTTAAAGTCATGAAAAATCTCATTAAAAAGGTTCTTCAGGCACTTTGGACTGTGAATACCTCTTTACAAGTTCTGGTTACATGTGTTTTAACAAAAGAATCTGGACAAGATGAGGGAAACAGCACTTCAAGGACTGTAGGGTTTGCTCCTGGGGGAGACCCTACCAGACAGGGTGCAGGGAAGGTACTTCCATAGCATCATTGGGATGGGGCATGCAGACTGGCACTTTTGAGGCCATGGCAGGCAGGAAGCCAGTGGCCAGGGAAGCTGTTCCTTTCCTGCCCCTGCCCCTGCCCCTACCCCTGCCCTGTAGCACTTTACCATTGAGCCATATATCTCCAGCCCTTTTTATTTTTTAAATGTGAGACAGGTATCACTGAGTTGCCAACACTAGCCTCCAACTTGCAATCCTGCTGCCTCAGCCTCCCCAGTGGCAGTGATTACACATGGGTACTGTGATTCTTTGGCAAGGACTCAGCCCTAGCTCTGTTGAGGCAGAG